AACTCTATCCCAGCCGAAACCAGGACAGGTGGGTAGAAAGTAGCTAAATGAAAAAACCTGATGATTTAAAAGAAAAAAAAAGAGCTGGGGGGGGAAGAAAGTATAGGACTGCAGGGGTAAAAGGTTGAAGATGAACAAATTTTAGTGCAAGACTCAAGTTGCTACAAATTCTAGTCTTATCACCTGTGCAGACTTTTTAGTCTCACATAGTCCAACAGTTGAGGTTTGGCCAAAGCATACTGTCTGCAGTAGCAATCAGGCTTGACCTAAGCATATTAAGACAAGGCAAATCCACCATTGTCCTTGGTTAGAAAAGGAAGGAAACATGAAGGGTGAGCAGAGGGAGGCTGAGGAGTAGGGGCTGTAAGACATTTACAACAGAAGGGCAGGGAACAACATATTGAGTCAGATCTTCACAAGATGAGGCACTCTGCTGGCCCACGAATTGGCTGAGGCTACTTCTATGCTGGCTCCTCCCATGCTGGCTTCTCCCTGGCATTTCTTTCTCAGGATCACTCCTGAGACTCCACCCATTCTTTCGTAGGATCATTTCTGATCCTAAATATTCAAAAAAGTCATTTAGATGTAATTTTAAAGTAGTATCTATGGATCTCGTTTTCTTTTGTGGCTGTTTGGCCTCTGGTCATGTTGTCCTCCTGTGATGGATTCCCTACTCGTTATGCTCCTCCCAAGCTGCAAGGTAGCACATCAGCTGCCAACTCAGGGTAACATCCCAATTCTTTGCCTTTCCCGGAGCTCCCGAGCACACGGCAAAACTGGGCAGCCCATGTGCGGCCCCGGCGGGAGGCAGGCAGGGAAGGGGAGGTGGAGAGGAAGAAGGTGTTTTAAGACGGAACGGTGAGAGCGCAGCGCCGCGGCCGCTTGTGGGATGGGACGGGACAGGACGGGACGAGACGGCGGCGGACCCAGCAAGGAGGTAAAGGCCGCTCGTCGCGGGCCGGGCCGGCGCCGGGGCCGCGCGGCTCCCAGGGACCCGACGGGGGCTGAGGCGGGCGGCTGGCTCGGCG